CATGTCTCCCCCACTTAGACACTACCACATGAGCACAAAACCTTATAGAAACCTGATCTTCAGAGGGCATCTGAATATTCTATAAAGCAAGGCATGATTGAAGAAAGTGTTTCTATTTCTTTATACATGGCCCTGATTCTAAATTTCCTCAATAATTCGCTCATCCTTTTCGAAAGCTTTCAGGATGGTAACACTATTAATCTGAACTAAGAGTTGTCTAATTCCCTGTTTTGTCCTAAATAATGGTTTCCTCTCACTATATTTCTTAGTATTTTGAAATTCTTAACAATTAATCCTAGCGGACAATCGTTCTCAACTAAGATTTTTTTTAGTCTTTATAACTTTTGATCCTGGCGATTTACTTCCGCTAGACGCAAACTTCTTACTCACATTGATTTCATAAACTAAGATCTTCCCAACTCTGCCATTCTACCAGATTGCGAAGTAGTCATCCATATATTTGACCAATAGTTTAGGAACCAGGAATGACGCTTAAAAAAGCCGGACTTTTAAGTGAGTCGTATAATTAGCTAAAACTGGAGACAAACACGATCCCATAGCTAAACCTCCGTTTTCCTCATATAGGCTAGCATTAAAGATGAAATGCATTATTAAGTTCGCCAATCTCATGATTAGCTCCTTGCATATCTTATTTTCCTATATAGTCTCTGGGTCCTAAGCCCTATTTACTATTGCCCCCTTTTTTTTCTCTCTAGATCGGCCAAACCTCCTCGCCCGTATTTCAGGACTTCGTCAACTTTTTGAACCAATCTTCGCGCCCCGATCATCCTTCCCGACGGAGATAGTATCTTCAATGAGGCCTTGTCCAGCGCCTGTAATACGGGCTTCTCGGTCATACTCCTCACTTCCCCAATCCTCCGGTCGGCTCGGACTCATCTCTTGGGATATCAAGTGGATCTGCCGAATCGCTCGTGAGCTCTTTGGTTTATCCGACTGGTTCGCATATAGTAAACTTTCCTTCCCGTCGATCCACTCCAAGCCATTCGAGGATCTCGTCACGTCTCCCTTAGCCAGTGACACCGTCATCCATCATGAAGGCCCTTTACTTTTTGAACCGGGTGCAGTTGCATGGCTTTCTGATCCAGACGCAGGCCGACCCAGCTTTCTCGACACCCTGGACAACTTTACGGCTGGAGACGACACATTCACTGCTTGGATGCATCAGCTTATGGACCTAAAGCTCGTCAAGGGTACCTTTATCAAAGATTTTGTACACTTTCTGTTGTCAATAATGCTTTCAGCAATTTATATAATTTCTTTGTTGGGAAGACTTTCATTTTGTATGAAAGTGCATGAAGAGGAGATTCTTAGGTCGATCTCACCAGAAGAGAACGGCTCAATCCCGTTGTACTGCAGCCGTTTGGCTTTTATACGAAGTTCAGGTTGATACAGTCTAGAAGACCCCCCTCGTTTCGGCTGAAAACGGGCTGAGCTTTCGTCCATCATATGATAGACATCATCAAAGCTGGAATTAATTCTTGTAACAGCCTCACGTAAATACCAGATCAGGAAGACTATCTGGCTCTATCTTACCTCTTACATATACTAATAACTAAAAACTAAAATGAATAAACATAGATAGGTATAGGGATAGTTTGGCTAAATATCTTCCATACTGGTCCTGCTACTTCTCGCATGTGTGTGAGTGCGTTGTGTGTGGGCGTGTGCGTGCTTTGTGTGTGTGTTTGTGTGTATGTGTGTAATCGTCTATACGGACTACACTCTTAAGTTAGTGATAAAAAGGCTAATATCAGGCTCTGGTCATCAAGGCTTTCATACGAAATGAAAGACTACCTAATAATGGTACCTCAGGAGATTCATCTAAACCAAGTCACTCTTCGTATATATAATTTACTTTGGCTCTGTCCTTCACCGATGTGTTTTGCGTATCAAGTTTATGGGCGACTGAAACGGTATTTTAGTCTTTTTTTACTAGGGTCTCTAGACCACCAATAGATCTTAACTAAGGACTATGGTCACTCGTTTAAGGGGATGAAGGAATGGTAGCTGAATTTTCCTACAATCAGTTGAGTAGGCTTCATGTTCTCATTGAATTTCACACAGCCCTGCTATCAATAAGGTATTCTTATCTAGGCTGTACTGGACTACAGTTTCGACCTCGCCTGAACTCGAGAAGGGTCTGGCTTTCCTTGAACTTCACTTATTCCTTGTGACGCAAGGACACTCGTTGTATTGTAGCTTAGTGGTTAATGCGCCTAGACTACTCAACTACGGCGACCGGGTTTGAGTCCTGATGTGGATGCTGATGAGAGTCGGGAGAGATAAAAACTGCCGTCCAATCGAGCCAGGATAGGAATACGTTTTTGTAATCAAGGTTATGCAAATAAAAACATGAGGCTTACTCATATGACTGTGGAGATATTCAATTGTCAGTCCTTCATCATCTTAAACGAAATAAGGTGAATGCAGTCCATACATT